TGACTGACACTCTCTAGTGTGGGGTAGATAGGCATCTACCTCAGGTTGCTGAAATATGAGGACAGTCGAAAGACTAACGATGAATTCATTCGGGACGAAGGACGGAGTGTCGATCTGTCTCGTAGCCTGGGTGAAGACCTATAAATCGGTCGTGGAGTGTAAGCGGAGGCCAATTACATCAATGGGAGACAATTTTTTTTTCCTGGTCAGAGGCGTTTTATGAGTACAAGACGTACAATCTATTTGGATAGACCAAAGTAAGAGATTAACATAGGAATGACTACCTATGACTGGGACTGAACAGAGTAAGTGATTGAAATAGTTTAACAAGGCCTTTAATATGAAATATTTGACTAACCCACGAGTACTGCATGTTATTTTCTCATGAACAGAGACTGTATGAGCAATGTGCGCAGTGTTCTTCAGTCTATTTGATGTGGTAAACATCCCTTGTGGGAGAGTGATATGTTGTATGGTACATTGGTGACGACCAATTGGGATTGTTGGATATTCCTTCTCTAGGAAGAGATATTGACTCCTTATGATAAGGAGCAGGAACAGAGTATTTGAATTACTCGATTGTTGACATTCTACAGGACCTTTCAGCTCACACTTCAGGTGATGATGACACTACTGACGAGGTGGAACTCAATACCACTGACGACATGCGTTTTAGATATCTATGAGTTTCTTTGGGGTACTACCTTTAGTCATCATAAGGGAGAGATCTTGACGTATGAACAGACACAGTATCATACAGTGGTAATAAAATAGACTTCCAAAGGATAGAAATACTCAAATACTACACAGCTTCTAAGGTACAGACATTACACTACTACTATGTCTCTATGATGTTACCAGTAACGTCCAATGACAGAAACACTCAATTTTATCAAGAAAAGTCATTCAAAAGAGTGTCTTCAAGAGCCATGAAGTTAGTAAAAGAGAATAAGATAATTTACATATACCCAACTGACCCTATCTTAATGAATAGATGGTCTCTGATTGGGGACATGCAATGGATATCAAGAACTTCATATCTCACATATGGGGTGCTTATTTGTACTCATAATTTTATTCATTTCTGTTTCCACTGATACATGGAAGTGAACAATATCCAATATTTATTCATGAGTTAGGTAGTCTTTCTGCTCCACCACCTTGTTGAACAGTAACACAAACAAAATATAAAGTTAATTTCACCTTCAGTTCTTTCAAGACAGGAGAACTTTGTGATGACTTTCAAGTTTCATTTTAAAAGCTGATGTGACTTTGAATAATCTAATTCATTTTACAAACTTATGTGAACTCAGACGTACTAGTGTCCTCATGTATAAATGATTCCATATTGTATTCTGATGTTGCATGCTTTGTACATTTATAATCTGGATGTATAATATGGTGTTGTAAAACTATCATGATTTGTAAAGAAAAAAAGAAGAAAATGTTCAATAATCCAAACCTTCGATATTTGATTTGATTTGTAACACCTATACTGTTTGCATCTATTATATTCAATCAGCAATTGTTAAAAATGTTATTCGATATAACATGACTGTTACACTTCTCAGATAGGTACAACCTAAGACAGATCCTATCTGAGACATTCACCTGTATTTCAATTTTGTGTTTTCTGGTCCTCAGATACATAGTTATTCAATTATCTCTTTGATATTGTAATTTTTGGTATGATTGATGTATAATTGTTATGGATAACTTATTTGTGTGTAGGTCTGAGCTTAAGTCATTCACCAGTCGCATGGGACATGCTCTACAACAGGAGGGGCATGTATAACCAGGGTATTTAGGATTGAAAACTTAAATTATATTTGGTAAATATTTAAGGAAAATTTGAAGTTCAGTTAAGAAGTGTCATTGTGCTTGGAAAGTGCATTGACCAGAGTAACCAGATTCATATCGATTCATTTTCCTTGCATACAACAAATCTAATAAGGGAGATGAGTGGAACAGTGGATCGGGTGACTCATATACCATTTAGGTAGTTACTAGTAATTAAGATACTAAGAATCAGAAAAGGGACACACGTAATGATTCGATTAACCAACCTCTGGCGCCTGACAGTCGGAAGTTTTATTCGGTTGAATGCTTCACGAATGATTTAAGCTCACTAATAAGGTACATTTATGATGGAAGAAATTGATGGTACCGATTAAGTCTTGGAAGAGAGGAAATGATTATAGTTAGTGGTGCAGCTGGAATATGAGTCAGTTGAAAAGGGACTAATGAAAGTAACTTATTAGTCAGATGGGTTATGAGTCATTTTATATGGGGTAGGACTGATTTACAGGGGGAGGAGCCAGAAAATTGTGAAGAGAATCAAAACTGAGCTGACTGGGAGAGCGGGAGAGAGCTGGGCCCCACCGTTGACTTGAGAGGTTCTCTCTGTATATTGAGAGAATGGCTGAGATGTAATTGTGACTTTTGGCGTGGTACAAGAAACCAGCCAGTTCTTCCATGAAGTTGTGAATCTGTGTTGCATGTAAACTAGGAAAGCTAGGAAGTATCTGAGGACCTTTGTGAAAGAATTCATGCTAAAATAAACAGGACTTGAACACCATACCGGACTTATCCTTGACTATCCATCTTAGCTACATCATCCCCAGAACCAGAGTGGATAGACAGATTACCTAGGGTGGAAGGGTATAACACCCCGAAAACCCCAGGTAACAATATCCTACACCAACCAACCAACACCATGTACTCAGGTTAATGAAGATTTATTGACAAATACAGACGCACCTACGAGGAAGAATGTTACCAACTAAATTCCTGTCATTCACAACAGTGATCATGCTGGGTTGTCATGAAAACACAGAACAGGACAACAATAATCTAAAAAAAAATAAGGAAAATCTGCACCATTCAGATATAGGTGATTATGTTAAGGGCGGTTTTTTTTATTAGTAACCCATGCATAAACATGTCGCCACACATTAGTGGTGTGAAATATACTTATCTCTTTCAGACTTATCTTATCAATATTTAGTTAACGATTATCGACCTCTATGATCTCTGTCGATAGCTGGCCCTATTGAAGTTAGAGTTCAACATCACACAGGAATACTGAGGCGATATGACAACAGTCTGGAAATAATTATTAATTAATAATCCAGTGATTGACATCATGAGCATCGGTTCACAACTGGAATATAACATAATCCTGAAGGTCACTGAGCTAATACCATACATATTTGAATGCTCATAAACCCATTTTTATATTTAACAATAAATTTCAAATGATCATCATCACTGTCATTTATTCTAAAAACATGTGGGCATACTCAATTTCTGAAAGGCACACCTAAAATATTTGTCTGGTGCCCTAAGGCACACTTAGAAAAAAAAGTATTTCTATCCCTGCACTTCATGAATAGAGAATACCTGATGGACAAAGTCTGTCTTAATAGTTCAATCTTAATCAGTGTTAAAACACAAACAGATAGAGGAATTTTAAGCTTGATTTGTGATTAAAAGATTTTGTCAAGCGTTACTTCTGGAAGCATAAAATTCACAGAATTTCAGTTTCATCAAGTTTTTCAAAAGATATACCAGACCTGGTCAGATCGGTGACAATGTCCTACATACATAGGAAATACTCTAACACATAAAATACTGACATAGTGTCCCTGGTACAAATCAATATGCAATATAAAATATGCCATTTTTGGTTAGGCGGAACTGTCAGTTTCCACATGCAATGGTGCAACTTGCAAAGGTTGAATGTGCATCCTCATGTTAAAAAGCACTTCATTCTTGAATACATGTCTTCGCATCATGTGGTAACTCTATTCCAAAGTACTGTTAAAACATAATCTAAATCTTAAACTCATCACTTTCACATAAGGTTAGTAAAAGTTGGTCTAAACTATCATTCCACAAAATCAAAATGTAAATCTAATCTAAGAAATAAATCTTAATCAACATGATTAATGTCAATGCCTCTGTTAACAAGCTTTGTGAGTTGTGTTCAATACCGCTTTCAACAGTATTTCAGTCATAACCAAACCTAAATCCTGCCATAGATATGGGAGACAACTCTGTACAACAAATTGCAAAGCCTGGACAACCCATGCCTTTAAACAAGCATTGCCAAAGCATCATCAGAATTTTTTTTCTCACAAAGATATTGAGGAATAAACATGTTAAACAAAATAAACATGACAAACGACATTCTATTCAGTGAATATAAACCAGGAATAGCTGGCCATGTGGGTATACTGGGTTAGAACTGTACCCAGCTAACTATGCAGGTCGTACGTTGTAACTTAACAAATCCTGTTGGTTGGCCGGTGTTCAGCAATATTCCAGCTATTAGGCGGCGGTCTGGAAATAATCGATTCTGGACCAAACAATCCAGTGATCAACAGCATGAGCATCAATCTACGCAATTGGGATACGATGACTTGTGTCAACTAAATCAGCAAGCCTGATGACCCGATCCCGTTAGTCTCCTCTTACGACAAGCATGGGTTGCTGATCACCAATTCTAACCCGGATCTCCACGGATCTAATGGATCCATGGATCAGGTTAGTTGATAGCTAATTGTGTGTCATAATACCCTGATGTCGATTGTTGCTGAATATGTCAATCACTGGATTGTAAGGAGTAGATTTAATTGTTTCCAGACTGCCCTTATATAGCTGGAATAATGCTGAGTGTGGCATAAACATAAAGACACTGAGCTGCTGAAATACACACAGGACAGATAATTACAGTACAGAAGATTAGAACGACCTCGGCCATCTTGATCCTACACCGAGAACCAGACTAGGAATAAACTCATTTCACGAAAGCTAAATAAATCAAAATACATGCATGCTGAATAATTTACAGAGAAAAATGGTGTTTTAGTACATTTCAGTATTCTTAATCAGTGTTTATACAACATCAAAATCACTGTGCAACAAAAATGGAAATAAAACAAACCAAAACATATGCCTACGACATAAAAAGTGCATATACAATTCAAGTTACTTACTCTCTGTAATCACATGGGCTGCATTAAGAAAGAGGAAAGAAATGTATTTAATGGTGGTGTATATGTCAACATCGTCAAAGTGAGTCAGGGAGAATGACGAAACCATAGAACACTGGGCCCATCATAACAAAGCAGAAGATTGCGAGAGTTCTGATAAATGCTGTTTTGAACAGTATTTCAGTTTTGTCCTGGCATGACAGCTTCTGGCGGGATGAAAGTTTGAAGAGATGGGAGTTTGACCACTTTGGAAAAACCCATTAACACAGGTATGGTTCTGACAGATTATAGAAACATAATATAGGCAAACCAGGACCTAGATTTTCGAAGCTCTCCTAGTGTTAAGATGGTCATAAGTGCCATGCATTAACATTAACTTACAACTATCTTAGCTCTAAGAGAGCTTTGAAAATCTTGGCCCAGGATTCCGACATACAAGATTCTGTTGAGTCCAAGGGATGCAACTCTACACAAGAAATTGTTGAGGCAACATAGACAAATATGCCGTGTCAATATTGTCGTGTCAAAAATACCTACCATTCATACCATGGTAAGTACTAAATAGTACACACTGTACCAAGTTCACTTTATGGTTAAAAACATGATTTAAACAAACTTGTGTACATGTTATCACAATACAATCTGAACAATTTCAAGTCAAATCAAACAAACAATATTCATAACAAAGCAGCTGATGTACTTTTTCTCTCACAATTCACAGGAATACTCAAATAAAACATAAAAATTGGAGTTTGTGAGACCTTAATTTTCAATCAGCACTTCGACTTCACAATGTCATTCTAAAGAACTAGACTAGAAGACAAAGTGCATCACAGAACTCTCATTCAACCGAAGTCACAGCAAAAAAGATTCAGTCAAGGGCTCATTGGCAGCATTTCAAGAAAGAGACTTCAACAATGAATCCTTGTTTAACACTATTATATTTTCATCTTCAACATCAATATTAATACTTGATTTACAAGAAAACCTCAAAGTGATTATTTATAAGCAAGAAACTTTGGGGACAACTTGCCAAGGATCATTACTGGAAAGACATTCATATCCAAGCCACGATCCCGTCCACTGAAGCGGAGCCTTTACCACAGAACTATATGTTACCTCAACATAAGGTCAAGGACTGAATCACTATAAGTGCAGTATGATCCATGGTCCAATCTTGAGTCCATATGATCCATCAGTTGGTGGTGCCCTGTCTCTAAGAGGATCTACCACTGGACAACCAACCACCAAAGTGTCATAACCACAGCTAAAGGTAATATCTAAAACTAATGTACCCGGTAAGTCCTTTGACAGTTCAGTCCTAAATCCCATCTGCAGAAATAGAACCTGTGATTAAAAGTAACAGATGCAGGCCTTTGAGTTCTTTTAAAAACACAAATATGCTCATTTAATCAGTACACAAATGTTTACTGGAAGTTATACTTTTCTTCGTGTAATACACTGTAACACGAGTGATGAAACCAACGTGCACTGACAAGCACTGACAAAGTAATCAGAGCTCCAGTTAAGATTTAGCTCATGTGGGTACTGAACCCACTGTATTTTTTTGGAGTGGGTATTATGAATGTTGAGTGGGTATTTCATTTTCCGTTACCCACTGCTTTCAAATATGCGCGTATTTCAGTCATTTTACTCACCTAAGTATTATGTCACTGAGTAAGTTTACTAAGCAGGTATGTTCTGCCTTATGTCATACCTAATCAAAACCAACTTAAATATAATGGAAATGATTTCATAAAAAAATCACTCATCCTATACTGACATTACAACACTTGTCCTATACTAACAGTACAACTTGATAGCAATCGATGTCTTTTTCATTACGCAAGCGATTTTTATAAATATATTCCGTACGCATTTGTTTTAAACTTTTTTGCGTATCTAACATTTTAAATGCGTAATTGGTACGCAACAATTATTTTTCAATGCGTAATTGGAAATTTTATAAGCGTATTTTACCCGGATACGCAGCTTATCTGGGCCTCTGGTAATGCCTCAATTATCATTGGATTCTTGCATCTCTAAGGGACATAACTCTTTAAAATGGTTACTACAAAACATTCTAAACTGATTTTAATAGAACTTAATTGTTGGAAAACTCCCTTACCAAATAGGGTAAAAACACATACTTAGCATCTTGGTTTAAAATGGTGCTTACAATAATGGGAAAAACCTAATTAATCTGGTTATTGACATTACCTGTTCTCCATTGAAAGTCTTAACATCACACAAGCACAGGAAAAAGTGCATCCTTCTTTCCTGCACAAAACCTGTTGAGTCAGATCCAAATTTAAACTGATACCATTCTGTCACATTAAAACACACCCTGTATTATTACTTCTGTGTATTTAACAAACCTGCAAGATTTCGTAGAAAATATCTTGGTTGACTGAGACCTAAGCATGTTAGTCACTACAGGAAACTTCCCAGATTATAGATTATTTCAAAGGTATTTCTCCCCCAACCAGTTCTTTCAGCTGGTTTGGGTCCTTAACTTCTTTTGAGTGATATACTTCTGATTATTGAAGCATCAGTAATAAAATTGTGTCAACTCTCTTTAACTGATTTGTAACAAGGTCGTGGTGAAATGACATCCATCATGTTCATCAAGTTCTGAGATTGATAAACAAGAGTCATACATACGAAGTTGACAAATCCACCAAGCCCCCACAAATTTGAAAAAAAACAAAAAACATCTTACATCAAGCCCAATTTGATGAGAGAATTTCTGTCTAATCTGTCCGACGGCATACAAGAGTAGTAATTGAGCTATCAAAACAATAACATGGAACTGGGATTCGTAACTTTGTATATACATGTACATCTGTGTCAGGTATACGCCAATATTAAAGTTAAAGGAAAAAATTCAAATTTTAAAAAGCCCTAATAGCAAAAGGCAGCAGTTGACAACCCAGTTTTTGTTTGTGCACAATTTCATTAATGAATACCAAGTACTTTTTCAAGATATGGTCCTGACAAACACAACACTGTGAACAGAGTCAAAGTCAAACTTGTTGCTATGGAAACAGGAAATAAATTAATTTTCTTAAAATTTCTAAATAGTGAAAGGCAGCTCTTCCGATCTTAGTTAATACATGTTCCCGGTTTGGATGTAAAGTGTTTCATGGTTTTTCAGCACCCCCTCCCCTCCAAATCGTTTCCATGGAAATCAAGAAGAAAACAAATGTAAATAGCGAAAAGGCACCACTTTAGGTTCTGTTCGATATATGTACCAAGTTTTGTTGAAAAATAATGAACGTTTATTGAGCTATGTTCCAGAAACGAAATGATTACCAACGAACGGACGGACGGATGGACAGACAGCGACAGATACAAGGCATTGACTATATCCCTCCACCATATAATATTGTTCTTGTTAGCATTTTAAAATCCCCACTTTCACATCTTGATGTATACCTTGAGGCACCCTTCTGAAAGCATTCACTATTATCTCTGTGTTTATGCACATTTACTAATCCATCAGAAAGAAGGTAAATCCTGATGCTGTGTTTATCAACCTCTATGCTTCAACTTTACGCACTCATCAACATTCCGAATCAATATTCATTACAATTTTACTCTCCATGTAGAATTGATTACACATAACACAAAGTAAATAAAATGTAAAACCTTTTTCATAAAGGCTGAAACACCAGGTCAATATCAAAGGGAGTAACTGTATTGACAACCGAAAGACTTCAATAGTGATGTAAACTGATAACATGATTGGCAATATACAAAACAAGTTATGTCAAAATGGAATTCCCTACAGAAAAAAGTTGTAATTTTACCAAGGTTTCTGTAGAAAATATTCATAATTTATATTAACATGGTAACAGGTAAAATGATCAACTAAAGCTTTCCAATATTCAGATTATCTCCCTTGGCTTATCACTAAAAAAAAAAAGAATCTGGTACATTATCAGTAAAGAGCCATTTTACAGATTATATCCATGTACATTTAAGAAATTAAGAATAAAAGTAAGTGGATACTAGAAATAACCCACAGGAACAAAGCAAAGTGAGTGTATCACTTGAATTAAAAGAGACATACCCATTATTCACTTCTAATCATGTAAAACAAGGACGTAGAATTCCTGGTTTTTCATTCAATTGAAATGAATCAATTAGCAATTTAGGGTACCAAGTCTTAGGGTGAATGAGCATGAAGTGACATTGGAATTTTGTATTAATTGCCAGTGTTTAACATTTCTTGTATCAGAGCTTCAATGGCACAAGCCCTTTGAAGATCCAGGTTAGAATTGATATTCAGTAACCCATGCTTGTCATAAGAGGCGACTAACGGGATCGGGTGGTCAGGTGCACTGACTTGATTGACACATGTCATTGCTTCGCAATTGCGTATACCGATGCTCATGATGTTGATCACTGGATTGTCTGGTCCAGACTTGACTATTTATAGACTGCCACCATATAGTTGGAATATTGCTGAGTGCAGCATTAAACAACAAACTATCAGTGGAATAAACAGACACCTAATGGCACAATCAACAGAGGTTCCATGTTCCTGAACACCATGATACAGTTTAAGATAAATTGAAAGTGTTTGATAATTGCACTTCAACAATTAAACGGAACCAGTTTGATATTGATCAAAGGTATTTCCTTTCCTTGTCATACTTAAATTCCAACATATCCAAAGAGCAACATCTTTGCATGTGCTCTGAGGCACCATTAAAAACAAGTACAATATTTCTGGATTACGCATCACCTCGACGTTCATCCAGCATGGTACTTTAAAGTCTGACAGCACTGCTATCAATATATTTAGTGCATCAGTGACCCAAACTCTGTGGTTGACTTTCAAAAAAAGACAAGGAACCATGATCCCCTTAACACTAGCACTTTACTGTAAGAAATAGCACCAATCCTGCATGTTTTCTCTCTTATTTTTGTATACACCATTGGTATTATCATTATCTGTGTTTATAGATGGGAGTCCTGCTAGTTCTGGTTGGTTCAGCAGTAACCCGATAACA